AAAAAAAAAAAAAAAAAAAAAAAAAAAAAAAGACAGAGAATATAGATAAAAGCACTTTATTTATTGAAATATGTGAATACGTGAAGATGACCAGAACTGTGCCTGAACAGAGACAACAGATGCAAGCTGAAATACGTAACTGGTAGTCAAAGGGTTTATACACTTCTCAGCTCTCAGCTCTGCTGCAGCATTTGTTTGCCTAATAAGCACATACTTAAGCCTGCTACTCAGTCTACCTGACTGGCCTCAAAATACGTTTTAGCTGCACACCTAAGAACTATGTATCACACCCCAAGAACGTTAAGTCCCAGCCATACCACCCACCCACTATACTCTGAATGTACACTTATATAATTTCAGGTTTCTGTGCCTCTGTCATTCCTTTAGCCCAAAACAACTTTTTCCTTTATTTCCTTCTCCCTTCAAGGCTCAGTTCAAAGCCCACTCTGTGAAAACACATGGTCAAAGCATGTTCTCGACCATATTCCCCCAACACTTGGCCTACAGGTCTCTCCTAGTGTTCACCCTGTGCCCCGGATTGCCGCTAAATGAACATTTATCTCTAGAGCTGCACACTACCTTCCATGAAGACAGGTGCTGTCTTACCTAAATGTTTTTGTGAGTCCCACGCCTCTGCTGGTCTTAGGCACTAATATATGTCAGTTCAGTCAATGTGCCTGTATATGACCTAGTTATAATTTCTCATATCTGATTTCCGCACTTTATAATCCCACATTCAAAGTTTTTCATTAATTCTACACCTCTACAGTCAGCCTCTACAATGTTTCATACACTCACTAAACTGTACCTCATTCTACCTCTCAAATCTGCTCCTGTATTTCCTATCTCAATGAGTGGGGTGCTTCTACCTTTTGTTTTTGTTCCTTCGGTGTTTTGAGACAGAGTCTCACTATGTAGTCTAGGCTAGCCTCAAACTTGCAGTGATCCTCCTGCCTCAGTAGCTCGAGTGCTAAGATTACCGGCATGCAACACCATGCCTGGCTCCTCCTACACATTTTCACAAGCCAGAAACTAAGGAGTTATTTTTGATTCCTCTCTTTCTAAGCCAAATCAACTACATATCCTATCCAGTCATATATACATTTTTTTTTGCAGTACCAGGGATAGAACTCAGGACCTTGCACTTGTGAGGCAGGCACAGTGCCACTGAGCCAAATCTCTGGCCCCCTAATATATATATTTAAATCATCCCCCGTTCTCTATCTGTGCTGCCAACGTACCTGAGCCACCACACTGGTACCTGGTTTTTCCAGCTGCTTCTCATTATCCGAATCTCCCATCTCGGTCTTCATCAATTCATTCTCCACACAACAGCCAAAGTGATCCTACTAAAGGCCACAGGCCATTTTACCACTTAAAAACCCTTTCCTGTAGTCCTGCTGCTATTAGAATGAAGGAAGTGCCAACACCTTTGTGTGGCTTGTGACAGCTTCTGAATCTGTCCCCCAATCGCCCTGCTAGCCTCCCTTCTCAATTCTTCCCACATCATGGGCTCCTACCATGAAATGTTTTCCACTTTCTCAAGCATCGCCCTCCCCACTGAGCCATCACACTTGTCTCCTCCACCTTCTTTCCGGTCCATATTGGTGAGTGCCTGCTCACCTTACTACTTATTGAAACATCACTTCCATGAGAAGCCTCCTGTGACTTCCTTGACTAGGTCTGAACTTGTGTTCTTGCTCCCTGTACACCTGCAGTACTCCTGTCACAATCACCACATCACCATGTCAGCCTCTTACCCATCTAACTGTACACCACAGGAAAGCAGTCTTTTTTTGGTGGTGGTGCTGGTACTGGGGATTGAACCCATGGATTTCATACTGAGCTACACTGCTCAGGCCTTTAAAAAAAAAAAGTGTGTGTGTGTGTGTGTGTGTGCGTGTGTGTGTGTTTTGTTTTGTCTTGTTTTGTTTTTGGTACCAGGGATCGAACCTGGGGCCTTGCAAGGCAGGTAGGCAGAACCGCTGAGCTAAATCCCCAGCCAGGATCCCTGGTACCAAAAATAAACAACAAACAAACAAACATATTTTTTTAAAGACAAGGTCTCACTAAATTTTGCAGCTTGGGCTGAAACTTCTGATTTTCCTGCCTCAGCTTCCCAGAATGCTGGATTTATGTATTGTTTTGTTTTGTTTTTTGGTACGGGGGATCAAACTCGGGACCTTGAGCTTGTGAGACAGGCTGTAGAACCACTGAGCTAAATCCCCAGTCCCCAGAATGCTGGATTTAAAGACATGCACCACCACACCCAGCTGTTTAGAATCTCACTATATTGTCCAGGCTGGTCTTGAACTCCAAGGACCCTCCTGCCTCAGCCTCCTAAGTAGCTGTAATTAAGGTGCACAGCTAAGGGCTGGTTTTCACATTCAGCAGCTTCTCTGTGCTCAGCACATAGGAGTACAATAAATGGGTTTTCAAATACCAGGTACCTATCTACAAAAGTGCCTGAGTTTTTCTAAAGAAATTTGGCATGCCAGGCATGGTGGCACACGCCTGTAATCCCAACACTGGAGAGCCTGAGGCAGGAAGATCTTGAGTTTGAGGTTACTCTAGACTACAGAGTGAGTTCAAGGCCATCCTGAACTACATAGTGAGACCCAGTCTTTAAAAAAAAGAAGAAAAAAATATACAATAAATTTTTGTTCTCTGAATGACATCTTATCCTTAAAGACTTCTAGTTTTCTACTTTCCTAATTTAGGGAATATAAACTTGCTTAGCCAAGTTTATATTGCTTAGCTTATCCTAAGATGCATAGCTCACAATCATTATGAGCAGCTCAATAAATGATCCTCCTGCCTCAACCTCCCGAGTGCTGGGATTTTAGGTGTGTGCCACCACACCCAGCTCCAACAAATTTTAGAGTCTACTCCACTTTATGCAGAGGCAGGTTCCCAGGATATAAAAGGAGGTAACAGCTATGCTTTCAGAACAAAAAACAAAAAAAGAGGAAAGAGATGCATGACACTGTTATATATTCGATGAAAAGTTGACTGTGCATTATAATATACAATCTGAACTTCATCAAATTAAAGGTTTAACATGAGAAGAAAAAAAAGTCACCCAGAATAAATACCTGGTTCATAGGGCCGGGGATTTAGCTCAGCAGTTCGGTGGCCTGCCTCGCAAGCGCAAAGACCCGAGTTCAATCCCCAGTACCAATAAATAAATAAATAAATAAATACCTGGTTCATTTGGGTATGTGCGACAAAGCCAAACAATCAGGATCCTAAATCTAGAGGTCAAAAGAGCAAGCATGGTAGGTAGCACATGCCTGTGATCCTAGCACTCTGGGAGGCTGAGGCAGGAGAATCACAAGTTCGAGCCTAGTCTGGACAACTTAGTAACTTATCAATATCCCATCTCAAAATAAAAAATTTAAAAAGGGCTAGAGATGTAACTCAGGGCAAAGGTCCTGGGTTCAATATCCATTATTGGAAAATGGGTGGGATAAAGAAAGAAAAAGTCCCCCAAAAAGATTACAAATGCCACCAAAGTCTAGAATAACTGAACCAACAGATATCTTTCTTTTTCTTTTTTTTGTTTGAAGGATCAAACTCAGGACCTTGCACTTAAAGGGCAAGTGGCGGAACCATTGAGCTAAATCACTGGCCCACTAATAGATATCTTTAAAGACAATTACAAGACTGTAGAGCAAATTGAAATAATAATCATAGGTAACTCACTAACTGTCCAATATGATTCTGTTACTAGAAAAGCAGCCAGCACATCCCCTCCCAGGTCCCAAGATGTGGAAGCAGTCATATGAGCTCCTAAGGTATTCATCAAGAACTCCCTCAACCACTTATTCAGAACGTCATAGTGGGGACTCAACCTTAGGGTAAAAGGTAAAGGTTGAAATGATAAGTATCATTCTAATTCTACCTCTGTAACCCATTAATTTACCTAAGCTATTTTTTTTTCATTGAAAGCATATTTTTGTAGTAATAAAGCTCATAAGCTCATCATATAGTAAATACTAGTGGGGTTGTTTTTTGGGGGGAGGGGTAGTGAGACAGGGTTTCATTATGTGTTCAGGCTGACCTTGAACTATGTAGCACCAGGCTGGCTTCAAACTCATGGTGATCCTCTTGCCTCTGCCTCCCCAAGTGCTGGGATTACAGGCTTGGCCACCACCCCTAGCTAAATACTAGAGTTTTATTTTGTTTTGTTTCAATTTATTTAAAATTGAAAGCCTAGGGCTGAAGTTGTAGCTCAGTGGTAGAGCTTTGCCTTAGCATGTCTGAGGCACTGAGTTCTAACCCCAGCAATGGAATTTATTAAAAAAAAAAAAAAAAATCCCAGGCAAGATTATTATTCCAACAAAGTTGCTTTAAATTAAAACAAAACAAAACAATAAACCGGGCATGGTAGCACACACCTGTAATCCCACCACTGGGAGGCTGAGGCAGGAGGATAGCTGAGTTCGAGACCAGCTTGGGCTGCATAGTGAGTTCCAGGTCAGTCTCAACTACATAGTGAGACCCTGTCTCAAAAAACCAAAAAAACAAAACAAAATAAAACAAAACAAAACAAAACAAAAAAATGCCGGGCGTGGTGGCTATTATTATTTCAACCTCTGAAGCCTGAGACTGAGTCCCCTCTAGGACATTCTGGGTAATTGGGTGACTGAGCTCTTGATAAATACCTTCCTCAACAGGAACTCATATTTTACTCCGGACCGTCCCACACCTTGGAACCTGAGAGGAATGTTCTGGCGGCTTCTCTAATCTCCCAAGACTCTGGAAGGTAATTATAATCATCCACACAGTCTTCAATGTCTGTCAGAGACACAGGTCTACCTCTACATGGCAATT